GAACACTTTATTGTGGTTTCGATGAAAGTTGTCAGAACACGTTAGTTTCTCATTCAACAATTTATATACATTTTCTTTGGTGACTTTAGCTGCCATCTCCTTGAGGTAACCACACCCTTCTACCTCCTCCTGAGTGCTCACATCCCTCTGTCCTTCCTTCGCTCCCCTTTCGGCCTTCTGAACTTAGTTTTGGGGCAAAGATGGTAAGGTTTATTGCTCTGAGAGTTGGTTCCTCCTGGGTGTTAGTGTTCACTTTAGAGACGTGGCTGTGGTTTGGCAGCAACGGTGATCCCTATGGGTAGGTTCCACTCCAGGGTTGAAGGGTGTCTAAGGGTGTAGTCCCAGGGGTTCCCCACGCTAAGACCTTCTATTGTGATCCCAAACAGAATAGTTGGTAGTGGTAGCCAGGTTCTATCTGGTCTTCTAGTCTTGGGCTACTGGCAGTTGTGGTCCACTAGTTCCGTGAACTAATTGTTTCTTCCTGGAGTCATTGATTTTCCTCTGGATGGGAAAAGGCCAATAGCTGCACCTTGGATCTCACAAGTTTGTTAAGACTTTGATCACTACCCAGGAGCCCCGGTGGCCTCCCTGGGAGTCAGAATCATCTCAATGACAGTGAGTTTTTTGAAGTCGCTACTCACCAAAGTAGAATGCAGAACATTGTGGATCATGCTACGTCATTGACCTTGCTATCATAGTCCAGAGACTGGTTCTATGCCCACAAACTCCTGTGATTCAGTCTCCCATGTTTGGTTACGGCTAAGACATTTGCCCCCTTCCCCCTGTATGCAACACAGGTCTCTGAGACATTTGTAGCAATACAAATGTGTGTGCAGAAATATCCTCTACGAAACCTATGGATGTATTAGTGGGGATACCCTCATATGCCCCCCGCTCCCCCCCCCACCCCACCCCCGTCACCTGTTCAGACTGCCTATCTATGCAGTTTTTGTGTTTTTTTAAAAAAAGTGTTGCTGCAGGTTTGTACATGATAGTATTTTCCACTGCTGCCTTGACTCCTGTGGGCCTCCCAGGGTTGTGTCTTCCTTTGCTGTCCCCACGTTAGGCTGACCTCTTAGTCTCATCAATTTTTGATAATTACTCCCTAGTTATTTACAGATAGGCACCCTTACCTGCCCACGGGCATGCTTCTATACTTCTATAAGTATATATATAAAGCAAATAGGTTCTGAACAAGTAGAAGGCTAGGTAGCATTGCTTGCAAATGGGTTCAGTCTATGTTAATACGAAGGGTGAGTATTGCAACAGGGATTCTGTTTAAGGACAAGGCTCTCTCATTGGTTTTATGTCTCTGACCCGGAGATGTACGAAGCACCGTGTCTTTGCCAGTTGTCAGTTC